GGTTGTTTGCCCACGAAAAAGACTACCGACCGCTAGCTGTTGTCTGTTGCTGCTGCTGCTGCTGCTGCAGTAGCAGCAGCAGCAGCTGCTGCTGCAGCAGGAAGCAGCTTCAAAACGAAGAGAAGGGGGCCCCCGCGAAAGGAGAGAGGAGATGATAGGGGCCCCCCCCCATGTAGGGGGCCCCACATATCTGCATAAGAGGCAGCGTATAAGAGCAGAGAGAAAGCCAGAGAGAAAAAAAAAGAGAAAGAAGAGACAAAAAGAAAAAGAGAGAGAGAAAGAAAGAGAAAAAGACAAAGAGAAAGAAAGAGAGAAAGGAGTTTATATATTTATATTTTATTTTTATTTTATTTTTTTTATTTACTGCTGCTGAGCCACAGGCTCAGCTCGCTTGCTCTGTAGTCTCCTTCTTAGGTCCCCTAAACGGGAGTGTAGAGGCAGGGAGGAGGGGGGCCCCCTTTCTGACGAAGCAGAGGGGCCCCTCTCTCTGCTGTCGCTACGGATGAAGGGTACAGCACCCTCTTTATCTCCTGCTGCTGCTGCTGCTGCTCCTGCTGCTCCTCCTGCTGCTGCTGCTGCTTTGTCTGCTGCTGCAGCAACAGGAGATCCACGGGGAGAACCCACAGAGCTACCCCGCTCCCCCGTATTCTCTTCGCTTAAAGACCTGCAACGCAGCAGCAGCAGCAGCAGCAGCAGCAGCAGCAGCAGCAGCAGCAGCAGCAGCAGCAGCAGCAGCAGCAGCAACAGCAGCAGCAGCAGCAGCAGCAGCAACAGCAAGAAGTATAACATGAGTTTTATGCTGAAAAAATAAAAGAGATAGAGCCCTCACCCTACATACAAACCCATCCCCTGTACCCTTGGGGGCCCCCCTAGGGGGCCCCCCGATATAACTGGGGGGCCCCCAGGGTACTGGGTGTTAGGGTTTACCTGCTTTGGCTTTTGTATCGATCAACAGCTGGCCCCGGGGGCCCCCGCTGCTGCTGCGGGCGGCGAGGCAGAGGGTGGGGCCCCTTCCGTACCCCCCGAAGGTCTCGTTCATAGGGTCGGGGGGCCCCCACCCCCATGGGCAGGGGGCCCCTCGCCCTCCACTCTGCATCTCTATCGCGGTACCCTAAACTTGAAACAGGGGGGCCCCTAGGATAGGGCCCCATGCCGACAGGAGACATACGCCTACTGCATGCAACACACAAAGATAAACACAAACACGATCCTGCTGCTGCTGCTGCTGCTGCTGTTGCTGCTGCTTCTGTTGCTGCAGCAGAAGAAGACAACTACTCCACACAGGTACATATGGGTGATCCCAAGCAGCAGCAGCAGAAGCAGCAGCAGAAGCAGCAGCACCAGCACCAGCAGCAGCAGCAGCAGCAGCAGCAGCAGCATCAGCAGCAGCAGGAGCATCACAGCGAGCTCACGGGAACCGTCTGGGTGGGGATCGAGAGGAGGAGTCTGGGGATCGTCTCCAGGAGCGCAGCTCCCCTCTGCGTGGGGTCGGGGATCGTCTCCTCACGTTCACGGGGCTGGGGCTGCGGCCCCTCTTTATACAGAGAGGTTCAGCCGGGGGGCCCCCCCCCCGCCCCCTACCCCCACCAGCAGGCGATCCCGATCGATCCCTAGCAGCTGAGTATGCATGCAGCGGCGGGGGGGGCCCCCCCCGTCGAGGAGAGGGGCCCTTTAGATAAGGGAGGGGCCCCCGGTGTGCACGCGCAGAGGGAGAGGCACCAGGGGGGCCCCCCCAGTCCCTTGGGGGGGGGCCCCCAGGGGATCGGGATCGTCTCCTCCGCGGTGGTGATGCTGACGGCTGGTTGCGTCTGTATACGGGTGAGGCGGAGCGGCTGCTGCTGCTGCGGGGGCCCCTGCGGGGCCCCCTGCTGTGCTGCTGTCTCTTTGGTGATGCTGCTGGGGACTGAGAGGGGCCCCCTGCTGATGGGGATCGTCTCCCCTGGCTCCATGGGGATCGGGATCGTCTCCTCCGTGCGGGCGAAGCAGAAGCAGAGCCGTCGTGGTGGCGTTTAGGAGATATACTGCTTCTTTTTCTATTCCTTGCTGCTGCTGCTGCTGCTGCTGCTGCTGCTGCTGCTCCTGCTGCTGCTGCTGCTGCTGGTCCTAGAGAATCTCGTTCACGAGCTCCACCGCTGCTGCGGGATCGGGATCGAGAACGAGGGGCACCCCGCATCCGCCCTGTTGCTGCTGCTGCTGCTGCTCCTGCTGCTGCTGCTGCTGCTGCTGCACCACCGCCACGCGGCGGGGATCGACTGTGGGGTCGCATCCGCCTGTCTCCTGGGGACCCTGACGAGCGTCTAGCTGGGGAGGAGCGATCCCCCGGGCCCCCTGGGGATCGTCTCTGCTGCTGCTGCAGCGGGGATCGTCTCTGTTGCTGCTGCAGCGGGGATCGTCTCTGCTGCTGCTGCTGCAGCGGGGATCGTCCCCTTTCTTGCGGGGGGGAGGAGGATCGTCTCCTTGGGGACTCAGAGCTTCTGCTGTTCTGCCCTGGGGATCGTCTCTGCTGCTGCAGCGGGGATCGTCTCTGCTGCTGCTGCAGCGGGGATCGTCTCTGCTGCTGCTGCTGCAGCGGGGATCGTCTCTGCTGCTGCTGCACTGGGGATCGTCTCTGCTGCTGCTGCAGCGGGGATCGTCTCTGCTGCAGCGGGGATCGTCTCTGCTGCTGCTGCAGCGGGGATCGTCTCTGCTGCAGCGGGGAGGAGTTTCTGTTTGAGTGGGATCGTCTCCTTGCTGTTGGGGATCGTCTGTGTGGGGTTTGGGATCGTCTGTGTGGCGACGTCTCCCCGCGCCCCTCCTCCTCCTCTGCCTCAGCAGTAACAACACTACGCAGCTTCTCCTTTAGTGCTGCTGCTGCTCCGGGGGCCCCCATCGGCCTCAGCAGGGGCCTCCTCTCTTCTGCTGCTGCTGTGGGGCCCCGCTGCCCCTCACCCGCGGGAGAGACAGAACGGCTGGGAGCGCTGGGGGAGCGGGAGACGCCTCTGCAGCAAAAAACAAATACACACAATAACCCTGCTGCTGCTGCTGCTGCTGCAGTTGCTGTTGCTGCTGTTGCTGCTGGTGCTGCTGCTGGTGCTGCTGTTGCTGCTGCTGTGCTGCAACGAGCAGGGCTCACTGCTTTCTGTCTTTTTGTCTTCTGTCTTTGCTTTTGCTTCTGCGTCTGCTGCTGTTGCTTCTGCTTCTGCTGTAGGAGCGTCTCCTGTTGTGCTGCTGCTGCTGCTGCTGCTGCTGCTGCTGCTGCTGCTTGTTGTCGGGTTCGTTCTCTCGTGATCGCTCTGCTGCTCTCTCTCCTCTCTCCCGCCGAAGACGCCGCTCAATTGCTTCTTTTGCTGCAGCTGCAGAGAAACAGCAGCAGCAGCAGCAGCAGCAGCAGCAGCAGCAGCAACAGCAGCAGCCGCAGATTGATACAAACAGAAGCAAAT